CAGACACCACCGCCCCCCCCCAAACCACTACACTGGCAAACCATGTGCCATTGTTTCCCCGGTGCTGCCACTGTCCCAGCAAGGCTGCCACACATTCAGAGTCTGGATCTGTGTTTTGCCCCAAGCTCCACACACTGTGACCAGGCCAAGCAGCCTGTGACTCCAGCATGCTCTGGTACCAGCTGGTCACCACTGGGCAGGATGAGGCCAAGCCTTACCAAGAAAGCTGAGCTCATGTTTCCGAGAAGAAAAGAGAAAGAGAGAGGCTTGAGCAGAGCATTGTCATTGCCGGTGGTTTCTTCCAGGCTAGCAGTAAACTGAGGTTGTTTATTGGATCCCAAACTTTCTTTGCATGTACACAGGAAAACAGATGCTTCCCACTCCCGGGCCCCGTGCTCAAGCAAGGCTCCCTCAGCAAAACCCACAGGTAGGGAGGGTACACAAATGGGTTAGCAGAGACATTGCTTCCTGCCTCTGGCCACTTTGAGCTGGTGATAGAACATTATCTACCCTGCACACTTCTTTGGCCTCCTTGCCAGGCTGTCGGGCTGGCTGACAGCATGCAGCTGGCTTTTCCTGCATGGTAGGAACAGCTGATGCTTCCACTCACAAACAGGGAACAGAGGCCAGGGCTCGCAAGTGCTTTGGCTCAAACAGTCACCCAGAGCCTGAGCAGGTGGGTGCCCTAACTGCCAGGTCACCTTGCATCTACCATCATTAAAGGCCTGGCACGGTCCATCCATAGCCCTATCTTCAGTAAGCCGCAGGTGCAGAATTCCATTTGATTCATTTATGCCAGCCACAAATTGAATTTCAGGTTCTTACAATCAATTAGAGAGGAAAAGGGGAAATAAAGTACAAACTCATGTGCCTGGACGTATGTTTAATTATGGGACTTAACTCTTGCCTCTTCTCCTGAAACAGTGGGCACTGGTCCCTGCCTGTGTCAGGGCTATGTGTCCTTCTGTGGTCCAAAGAGGATTCTTCAGTTTTCTGCCTAAAGAAGGCCAAGAAGGTCCTCACAAGTGACACAGGTTGTTTGAGAACATGATGCACCCACTGTTCCCCTCTCTTGTGACATTTCTTTATATAAGCAGCTGAACAGCAAACTGTATCAGTGTTCATTACTAATTTTGTTATTTATAGTGAGCTGCCACAGATGGAGACTGCAGTACTATTCTATCTTTAGGGCGTAGCGCCTGCCTGTCCATACAGACAATTGGTAATTAGCACAAGAACAATTTGTTTATCTATTCTCAAACTTAAATAAATAGGAGAGACATTTATCTGTCAGAATTCAACTCCCTCCCATTTCCAGATCTCCAAGTTAACTGCTTAATGAATAAAGCTCATCGCTTCAGACACTTAGATAAAGACAAAAGTGTCTTTTAAAAGAATTGCCATAAAAGTAAATTAAATATGCAGTAAAAAATAACAGGTCCTGTACTGAAGGGAGAACATTTAGATCACAAGAACCAGGAGCACAGGACAAGATGAAGTCCACAGTGGCATCAAGCAGAGGTGTAGAAATGGACCAACCAGTACGTAGGGGAACTGTGGTGTACATATCCTGGTTACTCCTGGCATGTTCACTTCCTCTCAGTCCAGCCACTCACCTCTCAGCCAATCATTCCAATCATTCCCTGCATGAGCATTAAACTGAGAAATAGAAGGCAGAGAGGATACTTGCACTTTTCCAAGTAAAACTCCATGCGTGCACCAAGATGCACTTTGGTGGCTTGGATGGCAGGACCCTGCCTAATGTGAACACCACACAAGCCAGGGGGAAGACATGACATATTTTCTTCTATTTTTATCACTGATTCCAACTGTTCTTTGTTTTCTTTTATTCCTTATACTCACCCTTGAATTTGGTGAAGAGAGAAAAAGCCTTTATGAATAGATGGACTTTTTGAGTTGCACCCAAGGGTTGGCCCCTGTTCTCTCTTGCCTTGCCCTCACCACTGCTGACAGGAAGGGAATGGGGAATGTTGCAGAACTGCTCATATTCACTTTAAAGACAAGAGCAGACTGTGTGGAAAAAATATTTAAAAAAAAAAAAAAAAAAACCAACAAAACAACACACACCTTGTCTTTCTCATAATTCAGATGTTCTTTAGCATCTAAAATTGTTCACTTACACAAGCTTGCAGGCATAGCCTTTTTTACAGGCATATGAGTGTACCCACATCTATACACATCGTGGGAAAAGCAATAGGAAAAAATACAAAGGTTTTAAACCTTACTGCTATCAGGTAGCAAAAGTGGGTCAGATCTGAGGAATTCTGCCTGGCAACCACTTCTGATCAGATGAGTACCAGGGAAGAACTATTTGCTTATTGTCCTTTTTTATCCTCTCATCAGCATCCAGAAAGGGGATAAAAGGTACTAAATAAATGTAAACTATTTCAAATACAACAGTTGGAAAGAAATAACTAATGCAGAGCTCCTGCTTTTGTCTTTCAGCTCACAACTCCGAATTTCCCTGTTGTGGTCAAGCTGGGACATGCTCATGCTGGAATGGGGAAGGTAAGTAGCAGGAAAAAATACACATAGCTCAGGAAACAGATAGATATGTGCCACAGCATTCCGGTGACCGTACATGACTGTGGGCAACCAGCGAAGGGGTTAAACCTCCCCACAGCCTATCTGGGTTGCGCTGGCTGTTCCTGCGGGAGAAAAGACCTTTTTCCGCTGCCACGCACTTGGAGGCAGGCAGTGGTGTTGGGTTGAAGGCTGCCTGGGATGTGGGAAGGGGGGTTGTGAAGAGTGTGGGGAAAGCTGGCTGGGCTGAAGTCATTAGGCTCGTCCTTTCTATATTATTTTCTCTTCTGAAAGTGGTAATGTTGTTTATTCAAGCACCTGCAATGTTCAGCTACACCCCATAGCTCTCACAATGAGGAGCAGTGGCACTGGTCTTTTTGAGCACATTATGATGACCTTATTCAATAAAACAGGAGCCCTTCAGTTATTTTTTTCCTCCTTGCAAGGAAGAACAAGACCTTACAAAGCAGAGTGGCTGGTTGACTGCCAAGGAATCCTGAAAAACAGTTCACTCACCAGAAGGACCTGTTTGTTTTTCCCAGGCTCTCTGGGACCTTTATTCCCCCAGTGAATTAGCAGCCCCTGTTTTTTGGGGTGACTGGGCTCCCCTTTCAGTGAGGCATCACCAGGACATTCCAGCTGCACTTTAGCCTCCTCTTTCTTGCATATGCATTTCAAAAAAGCATCTTCTATCACTCTAAGACTTGAATTGTTTGGAAGTAGGAAAATCTGATATGTCATCTCTGAACCCAAACGGGTGGTACGTGAACTTTGTAACCGATAGCTCTGTCATGGTGCTTCCCTAGAGCAGATAGACCTTCTCCCAGCCTCACACTTTGCCTGAAAATTATATATAGGTATGCCAAACTTAAACTTGGTACAGCTTGTTTGATTGCACTCTGGAAACAGAAGCTCTTTCTGGATTTCTGGATTGCACATGGAAGCTCTCATAATCTTTCTTGCTGTAGTTGCAATGTTCCCCTGTCTGGATGGTAGCTGCCAGGAAGGAAGTGGGCTCAGACCTCTGGGCCAGTGGTACAGTTGGCTTCCAGCTCAAAGAACAAACACTTAAATAAGCAGGAAATGTTAATTAAAATATTGGTGCTGCATACGTTCAACAGGCAGAGATGCCATTGAATTAGAGTATGTGCGGACAGCCTACAGATGCATGTAGACTGAGCCACTGGACATGTCTCTAGGAAGGATTTCATTAGCAAAATCCAGTCAGGACAAACCAGGCGTAAGAAACCACTCCCTGAGGAAAGGTAGAAAGGTTTCAACTTCTCTGAGACCCTGTAATCTGACTGCTCTGCGATTTCACCTGTAATGTAGGGATGGCTTCATGTGTCTCTCTTGTGCACGAAGGACCCCAAGAGGCTACAGAAATGAAGGCAGAATCAAAGAAAAGTACCCTGATCTTAACAGGGTTTCCAGACAAAATTCTCAGCAGAATATTTAGCTATTGTCTTCTGTACAAGACATCAGATCTTCCACCTCTCACTTTACCTCCCATTTTATTCTTTAGTGATGTTGATTTTTGCTGTAAGTAGTTATAGGGGAAGAGTTTCTATTCAAACTCCAGGCAGTATTGTATGTCATGGTACAAGTGGGGTAGGTAGAAAGTTGTTCAAGATGAAGATAGGCTGACAGCCAGTGTCTTAGAAGAAAGAATTGCTGTAAGGCCAAGTTTACTCTAGTCCCTTATGGAACTAGGGACTAGTAGCAAACAAAGTCTGGTTGTGGATTTGGGCAAAGAGTTTCAACACTGCTCTGTTCAGTAGATGAGGAAGGTACAGGAAGGAAGGGTTGTTGACCTTACGGTTTTAGTTTGGGCCCTTCTCCAGCCACAAGCAGCCTGAAGGAAAGTTGAGACTGATTAAATTAGTCTTCTCCAAGTTCTACTGCATTTCACTGCATAGAGCAAAAAGAGAAGGAAGTGAAAATGAAATAAAAACCACATCAGTTGGTTTAAAAAACAAGTAACACAAATTAGTTTCATGTTGTTTTTAAGACAATAGGGTTCAAGCCCAAGTGGGACTGACAGAAAGAAACCATAGAAAATGTCAAGGAGAAATACAGATAAGCAGAACTATGGGTATAAAGAAAAGTAAAGCCTATAGGGGAAAAAAAAAAAAAATTCCAGTTAAGTAATTCTGAAAAAAGCTTCCAGGAGACATAATAGTGGTTTTAGCCATCAAAATATAAAAGCAAAACAAGTGATGATAAGGAAGTTATGGAGAGCTGAAGGATTTCGTCGCATTGGTCTTCAGAAGCAGAGATGATAGCAGGAAATAGCAGATCTTTAGCTGTAAAATATATGTAATATGAAAAGAGAAAGGTTTGGGTTTGGTAAGAAATTACACTTCCTTACATGAAAGTAAATGTTAGTAAAGCACCTGCATTGGGTCATGTTCTGTATAAAAGCAGTGACTGAAGAAACAAAGGATAAAATAACCAAACAATTAGCCAAAGTACACACGAATATTAAAAGTAGTATTGCAACAAATGATGCCAAGATAGCAAGCCATGTATTTGTACCTGTAATGGGTGCTTCAAAGGATGTGAACATCCAAATTATGATCTTGTTACCAGCAGAAATTGCCCAAGAAGTACTTATTTTATTCTTGTTATTAATGATAAAATCACATGAAATGGAAAGCATCAAGAATTAGAAGAATGAGCAAGGATGTGAAGTTCAGACACTTATTCTTTATTTGTACTGAGGCAGTGGCCAGGAGCCAGATAAACTCTTGACACAGAAAAGTCTTCTCCCCTAGAGAGGTCCACCACTGACTTGAAGGGGGATTTGTGTCATTTCACAGTTCTTCAGTTTCTCTGTGTTACAAACCAGAGAGATTATAATGATTACCTGGTACTTATTGCTAACTCATGTTCATAAGGCTCTTGGGACTGTAAGAAGTGCTGAGTATTTATTATTTTGTAATAATGGCTACAAAGACTGTCATTATAATAGTCAGACTTCTATTTTCACCCATCGTTTGTTTTCAGAACATTTTTAGAAAATTCACTCACATCTTTTAATCAGCAGGTTGAATAGATAATCCTCAAAGCTAAAATGAAAAATAACTGTGTTAGGACTTGTAAGGAATAAGCCCTATTGACTGTCTTGAGCTTGCTAGAGGCATAGTTAGTATTCAAGGTCAGAACTAAAAGGTATACCATTAGTGATAGAAATGCTCTTGCCAAGTGATGTGTGCATGTAAAGTCCAGGTGAAATTCAAGAGAACAAATTTTCAATAGAAGACATCTTTTAAAATTGCCATCGAGAAATGGCCTCTCTATTGACTTGAGCAGAGACACCAGGATTAGCCTTCACCCAGAGAAAAAGGGGTCTCAGAGAACCCTCCCATCTGAAAACAGGACATATACCCCTCAGGCCCCCCCATATCTATCATTATCCTCCTTCAAAAATTCGGAGACACTTCATATTTTGCTGGCACTGCAATATCATAACAAGTGCAATGTGTGTTGCTGGTCCAATACAGTATTGATACAAGCAAAATATCTGTGAAATACTGCTTAGATAATGGTTTACAAGGGAGTCAGCAGAGGAGGACCTTTCTTGTGTTGTATTTAAGTTGCCCAGGCTCACCGGATCAACAGTACTCAACTCAAGGACACTTCCAGGGAAATCCTGGGTGAACACTGAGAGGAGATGTCCTTCCCTGTGCAGAACTGAACTGTTTTTCACCCAGCAGTTCCTAAGAAGTCAGGGCATTTTTAAGAATTGTGCAGTTTGAGCCTACCTATCCCAGAAGTGATTGGGGGTCTTTGTTAAATAGGGTGAGCACCATAGTGAGAAAGGAATAATACTTCTTCCTGACTCTGGATCTCATAATGCCAGGATCCATTGAAAAGAATAAAGCCCTGAGTGTGTTAATATCTGCCATTTGTGTGCTAACATGACCCTAGAGTGCCCTAGGAACAGAGCCCAGCACTGCAAATTCACTCAAAGAGCCTCTTCACCTCTTCCTGATCAGATCATGGGAAGGAAACAACTGCCAGATCTGCAAAGAGGGGAAAAACAGTATCTGTTCATGTGGCTTTATATATATATTTTATGAGGTTAATAAACATATATATATATATACGTTGTTACTCTTACTTTATTTTTAGACCTGTCTAATTAAGCCAGTTTAAGAGTACCCTCCTGTCCCCTCCTGCCCCATAATTATGAAAACACCTCCCCAGTACAAATCCTGGCTCAGATGAATTTATTATATTGTAGAAGAAAAACTTGTTGTTCATAATAATGTGGTCAGAGTTATTTTCTCTCTTGCTGGATGAGAAAGACTTCTCTACTTTTTTTTTTTTTTCCCCCTCTGGTATAAATATAGCACGAACCAAACAGAGCCACTCTGTAATGTAAAAATACTGCAAGCTTTTTATCAGGAAGGACAGTTCGTCACCTTGTCTCTCTCGGGACTGAAAATAGAATGTTCCAAAAGTGAGAGCTTTGAAAATCCAGAGTGCTAAAGAGGAAAGGAAGGGGAAAGGGCTGCCTCGGTTTGTCAAGGAACAAATATTTTCTTTTACAGAGGACAAATAATGACTTGACATGTAACATTCACAACAGAGAAGCCCAATCTCTGCATTACCACTGACTCATGAGCAAGGAGGTACCACCCATCTTGAAAATAGCAAAAGCATCCTCATTTCTTGCACATCAGTCTGAAAGCTTTTGCTGGACACAGAAAATGGTGACTGTTCCAGGGCACTGGGGACCAAAGCTGCCAAGACCCAGGGCTGAGAGAAGCTCTTTGTTAGAAAGTTAGTAGGGATTATAAGGTTTAAAGCATTAAAGGCAGCATCGTCACATTTAGAGAACCTCAGTGTGAAGATAGTAAGGAAATGCAGACTCTGTTGTGTCTTTTTTATTTTGAGGTAAGTCAAACTTAGGCCTAAACTGAACATGTGTCGGTTGGATCACATATTTTCTGAGAAGGGGAGTATAATTTGAGACAGAGGGAAGGAAAGACTGAAGAAACCTTCTGTGCAGAGCTATTCCTGAAGACCCACTATCCCAAAATGGTAAAGTCACTACAGAAAGACTAAACACAGGTTGAGATGGATGAAAAATCACAACCTCAGGTTCTGGAGGAAAACACTTAGACCGTGCACAAGCCTACCAAGATTCATTAAAGCACCATTTTGCCAAGCCTGGCCCTGGCTCAGCCTGGGCACACCTTTCAGCAGAACCTGCCTCTAACCCCAGTTTGGACACAGAAACTGCTTCTGCAAGTCATCTCCAAAGTGATGTGGATTTAACCTGTGAGGCAGAGTTAATTCTGGATGGCACTCAGAGAAGCAAGACTAGGGCAGCGCTAGGAGACTCGATAATTCTGCCACTTTGGCTGATTATTTTTTCATGTGACCATGTGACTAAAAAAAGCGAAAGGGCACCTTGCAGTACTTAGGCTAAAGAGAGAAAGGACTGCTGTAGCCCGGTGGCCCTGGTGCCCAGGAACATCTGGGATATACAAGAGGCAGTAGATTTGGGAACTATGAGATAGAGGAAGAGGAAGTTTCTATCCAGGTCCCTCACTGCAGGAACCTGTGCACATCCCAGGGGTGGCTCAGACTGCCCAAAAAATATCCACAGTGGGATTTCAATAAATCCAGCACGCCCCTTCCAAAATACTGTCTTGCAGGAAGGCCTCAAAAAAAGGTCCAGAGCAGGGATGGGGCAGAAGTGTTTCTTTCTGATCGATCCCTCAGACCACTTTCCAGACAAGGGCAGAAAAATCAGTGCCTCTTGGGAAGGTTGAGGATGAGAATGGGCACCAGGTGCATGCTATGTAGCTTCCAAGATGCCACTGCAGGGCAAAGTGATGGTCACATCTGTGTGAGCATGTCCCCAGGGATCCAGTCAGACTCCCCTCTCCAATGCAGCAACAGGGAGCATGCTACTGCATGGCCAGTGCCTGGGTTCGAGAATAGAGCTAGAAGGGAAGCAGGAACAACCCCAGTGAGCTTCCTTACTCAGAAGAGGCATTTGTCAACACACTAGCCCAAACTCTTCACAACAGGTCACTAAAATGCTACTGCAAATAGCAGCAGATGGCTCCAGAATGAGTCTATTGCTGCTCAAATAACCAGCACAGCTAAGCAAACAGGCCACCGGGGCAGGGACTGTGTTTACACTCACTGTTTGCACTCCTCTGTGCAGCTAATGGGATATTGCATTTATCCTAAGAAGGCTAGGGGGAAAAAAAAAAAAAAAAAAAGAGAGAGGAGAAAAATGGCTTCACGTTTTCTGACTTCTTTTCTCAGTTTCACATATTGGCCAACCTATCATTTTAGAAAACAGATTTATCCCTTGTTAGGTAAACTGGTAACTGTTTGCTATAGAATGATTTTTAATTGTCACTTCTTAAATAATGCCCTGTAGCATCACACTACATCCATCCTGGCTTGGGTTATCTCTAGGGTTTTTTTCTCCTGTTAGGGAAATGGATATTTTATTGATGTGTAAAAGAGTTACAAGGCAGGAGGAAATGAATTATACAAAATTTAAAAGTAGAAAGCTAATAAAGTACTGGACTTGATAGATAAAGCAGGAAAACAAATCTAATTTGACTGTAACCCAAGTGCTTCCTGTTTATGAAGTAATAACCATACCCCGGACTAAACCAGTGTTAACCCAGGACACGGCTGTTATTTTGTCAAATTTGGCCAGCTCTAACAATTAACAAATGGTGGCTCAGATTTCAGCTTTGGTGTGGTGATTATTTTGATGCCTGGCAGGAAATAAGGCTGTGATCTCCTAAAAGGGGACCTCTTTGAGGTACTTTCTCTCAAAAGTCCGTGGGAAGGACTCTGGAATGGGCCATGGAAGATGCCAGAGCTGTGTCCTGAGGACTGTACAGTGGTGTGGCACTGTGGGAGTCATCTTCTTTGTTTTTAATTTCTTACTTTCAATACTTGATGAGTCTTCTCCTCTTTATTTATCCAGCCAAAAATCTTCAGGCCCATAGGAGAAAACACTTTCAAGTGCTTTCTCTCTTTCCACATAGAGAGGGGGTGATGGAGAGGAGGAAGAAATGGACCTTTCTCTTCCATTCAAAACTCTGCCTTCTGTAGTTTTGAGGAAAAATCCCATTTAACAAGACAAGCGTACAGCTCCTTTCCAGCAAAAACAATACAGCCTAATTTCACTCTGGAGAGGGAAGCAGCATCCCTTCCTCTGCCTGAACAAGTGTTCTTGGGATGGGAAAGCAAACATTTCAGCTGGGACCCAAAGAACTCTGTTGCACAAGCACAGCACTTTGTTTAGGATCCCACAAATGTTCCTGTTCCAAGTAGGTCATTATATAATGGCTTTTGTCTTTTCCCATTGCCAAAAGGGTCCAGCAGAATATGTCATAACACCATGCATTGCCTGCCCATGTGGTCCCTCCTGTGATCATCTCATTTGGGTGGGACTCTCTCTCTTGATGTCATTCAGCCCAGCTCAGCTCTTATCTGTGCAACAAAAATATTCAGCCCCAGCACAGCCTGCATTCCACCTGTTATTTTGCAAGTCATGCCCAGGCTGGGGGTTCCCTGCATGTAAAGTGCTCCCCTTTCTCCCCACTGCCTCCAGGGCATTCCTACCACCTCACCCTGCCCTGCTACGCTCGGAGCAGCCAGCACTGCCCACAGCCCCACTCAGACATAGAGGGGGACAACAGAGCCCAGAGCAGGGCTGCTCCTCCTGAATGACATGCAATGGTTGCCTTTACATTTCCCCTTTGTGTTTTTTATTTCCTTTTTTTTTTCTTATCCTCCCACCTCACAGATGACAGTTGCCTTCCTCTACTCCTTTTCGCAGTGGTCCCTGAATAGCAAGAGCACAGCCCTCATCACAGCAAAAGGGAAGAGGACTAGGGGTATTTGGCATTCAGCAAAAGAAGCAGCAAAGATCAGGTCTTCTTTCTTATTATTCAGGCACATAGAAGTGCTCATAGGTCAAACTAGTTGCACTTTTCACCTTCCCCACAGCCTGTCCAGTTCTTAAGACCTTTTCTGTACCAGGATGTGGCTGCATCTTGGGCTTATGTTACCACCGGTGCTTACACAAAACCATGTAAACAGAGTAAAACACATTACCAACAAGCTTGTCCCCTGTTCTCTAGTGAAGATGGCTCCTGCCCTCTCATGGTTGACTGCAGATATGTAAAACCACTTGTTTGTTCTTCGCAAGGAAACACCAAATACCATTGCACATGTTTCCTTCAGCTGGCTCCACAAAGTCTGGCATCACCTTCCTTTAACACACATGCTGACGCAACTGGGAAGTTCCTCTGGGGCAGAGACCAAGCTATTGTCATGAGCAAGTAGACACTTAGCCAAGCAGGATTGCAACCCCCAGTCATGGTCTCAAAATGGTACCAAACTAGAAAGAGTAGGTGAGATGTAAAGAAAGTCACTCACTTGCTCAGCCTTTTTACACAGTGTGGGCCGTTTCTCCACCAGTTGACTCACCCTTCATGCATCCATCCATCTCTGAGGAATTAGACTTGCATGGGTTTCTTTGGTGCACCAAACAAGTTTTTGCCAGTAGTCTAAAGGCCAGGGCTGGTAGTATCAATGAGGTGAATTTGTCCCCTATAATCTTGTTACCTGCTTGTTCAGTTTTCCTCTCCCAGATTAGCGAGCTATTGTAAAGAATTGATCATATCATCATTAAAGCTTTGGTCTGTTCTGCAAGACTGTTTTGGCTGTTCTTTCTTCTTCTTTTTTTTTTTTTTTTTTTTTATAAGATACAGAGCAGTAACTGAGAGTACAAATCTGTGAAAAGCCAGTTTCTCAGAAAAACTCCAGTTCATAAGCCGCTACCTTCTCATTGCCAAGTGTGACTCAAGTCTAACACCTACCCAGCTGTCCACACACGTGCCTGTGGCATTGCACTCACACGTATCTCCACAAGAATCACAGCCTTCCCCAGAGACATATTGCTCCTTCAGAGCTTGCTTCCAGATGGGAGACCTGCACTGCTCCTCAAAGAAAGTCTGGATCCAGGGTTAATGTGAAATGCCAGGGAACTAAAGCTTAGAGGTGGCAGACAACCAGCTCTCTTGTTGATTTCCTGGCATTGGTTTCTATTTCCTGACCCCCCAAAAATGCTCTGTTTTCATCCATCCCAACATGGGAAACAGCAGTTCCAATGTCTGAATGAAGTAATGACCCTTAAGAGATCAAATATTTTCTGAAGCATCTTAAAAGCAATGAGCATCAGCAGGAGCCATCTGGGCAAAGGCCTAGCTGCCTCCCTAGTGCCAGGTTTACCAGGGCTTGTGCATGAGGAAGTAGAAAGTGGTTGATTTGCTCTGAGTTGGGTTGGTCTGGGGAACTTCTCTCTTTAAATCACACAAGCCCTGCCCTGTCCTCAGCTCGGGGCAGGGGGTGGTTAACTGACATTTGTACTATTCAGGCACAGAGGTGACTTCCGCTCACAAATTATTCCTGTTCTTTTTTGCTCTTGTCACTTTTTCATGGGATTTTGGCAATCAAGGTCAAAGTTGAGAACCAGCACAACTTCCGGGACATGGCCAGCATAGTAGCCATGGCAAAAACCTATGCCACCACTGAGCCATTCATTGACTCCAAGTACGACATCCGAATCCAGAAAATCGGCAGCAACTACAAGGCTTACATGTGAGTACATGGGTATGCCAGAGTGAGACTGGGGGAGACAGTGCTGGGGATGTGATTCAGTCAGTGTCTGCTCTGGGCAGGAGCAGGAAGCTCATTTAATTACCTTGAAGATAAGGTAATTAAATGAGCTTCTGCTCTGCTGTTCTCCTCCCACCTCTGAACCCAAATCCCTCATCCACTGGTCATAGTCTCCATTACTCACCATCAGCTCATTGTTTCTGGAAGGCAAATCTCTCTACCTGTTTCTGAGATTCAGTTAGTTCCCACTATGACAACCGTGCTTTGCTATTACCTATCACCTCTCCCTCATGAAAGGCTCATCTTTCCCAGCAAAGATGTCTAGCTGCCAGTACCCTGTAGTGGGAACTGAACCCACACTGGAAGAAACAATAAAAGTCTGAGCCAGCTGCAACTCATGGAGTCCTACAGTGTCCAACCCATAACAACATCCCATCCTCCCCAGAGCTGGAGGTCAGGGCATCACAGTCATGAGGACATGAGGAGCATGCAGCACCAGGTACAAATGTCCTAAGGCTGGCAAGCATGCAGGGTTTCTGTGGGTGTTCTGTATGTGTGATTCTTGAAGCACAGAAAGGAGGGAAAGGAGAAGGAAAGACATTTATGTGGAGGTCCTAAAGCTCTTTGCTGCCTTGTGGGGTAGCGAGGGAGGTGGCATGAAGGCAACCTTCAACACTGGTATGTTTAAAAATATTTGAAAGCAGCCAAACTTCAGTAGTCATCAATCTCAATTAATGATGTAACCACATGAGTCAGTAAGACACCTGTTTCTTCTTACTGCAAACCAGTAAGTAAAAAAAGCCAAATAGCACAGCTTCTCCAGAAGCTACTTATCCAGCCACAAAATTTTGGACAAGTAGACAGCTCCAGCAAGTACATTCTTCAAGTCACCAGATAAACTTCACGTTACCTAATACCCACAACACTGTGAGTTTTGGGTCCATGTTTACAAACCCTCAGGCCACAGTTCTGGTGAAACAGTCAAATAAAATAATCAAATGTGCATGAGCACAGATTTTTCAGCTATGGCTGCCTAAAATTCCCAGCTGGATTCCTGGTAGAGGTATTTAAGTAAACTAGCTAATGTTTGAGTCACATTCTTCATGGGAAGGACTTGTGGGGCACTTGGCTACTTCATGTGAACTCAACAAGAGAAAATTTGTTTTAAATCTAATCAGATCAAGCACAGTTGCCTAATATTACATTAATGTTTCAGGCAGTCTGGATCAAATTGGCCAAAGGAAGGAAGGTTTAAAATATCAATTAAAATTCCGTTCCTGCTAACCTACCCAGCCTTGGCTACAGAACCTGCTCCCAGCCTGCCTCAAAAAAGTGAAACAAAAGGCCAGTTAGCCTGATCATTTCTTCTCCCTGTTTATCTTTCACACTCACCATGCACTCATCCAGACAAGGATAAGAAATAATACCAGATGACTGACAAAAGAAAGCAGTCACACTAAAAGCTTATCCCACTTCAGAGTATAGCTGTGCAAACAATGTTTGCTAAATGAAAAATGTTTTCACATTAGAACAGCCATGAACAGGAAACACTTTAATGAGAAATGAAGCTTATTAGCAAAGCAAGTGACCAGCAAAATTCACCCAGCAACTTGCTAACCCAGAAGGTTGACTTATATGGACAGAGCCATTTATAGACGTGAGCTTGGGAGAGTAGGACAGTGAGTCCCATCAGGGGCTGTTCCTTCTGTCCCAACATCAGACAGAATAGAAGGTTATTTCTATGGTATAAATAAGTCCCTACTATGTCCAAGAACAGATGTAAAAGTACACAAAATACCAGAGCTCCCACTGATGTTTCAAATAGAAGATTCCAGATCATTAGTTATATTACCAAATTTCAGCCTTAAAGGCTGAGGATGCAGTCACATCATACTAAGTGAATTGCTTTGATCTGTGAGCCATGGAATCTACCCAGTGTTTTTATATGTTCACCCACACATATAGACTTTAAAAGTCCCTTTCCTTCTGAGAAAAGAGTGTGTACCGAAGTTCTCTAGAATATGTTTATTTTGCACCAAGCATCTGCCAGAGGGAGGATGCTGCAGGGTGACTCATGCATTCCTCCCTGCCCCAGATGTTCAATGCACTTCCTTCCAGCCCATGACCCAAGGCTTGAGTTCAGTTTCCCATTGAATTCAGTGTAGTGACTCCAGATTTACACTACTAACAAACACCTACTTGCCCCATGCCTTGGGTCAGTCTCAAAACAGCAGATAAGCAGCACGTGATACATGCCTAAAATTCCACCAAATGTGTTTGACTGTTGTTGTAATACTGGTGAAGAGAAAGCGCAAATACTGCTCACATGGCAGAGGAAATTGGGGAAGAAATTATGCTTTCACCCTCACCCTAATTGGGGGCAAACAAAGCAATCATTTCCAGCTAAGACTTGTGAAATGTTGTTCACTTTGCATCAAGCCAGCAGCTGCTGACTTTCAGAGGTAGGATATTCCTTGCCACCAGCTCTCAGCAAGCGAGTAGTATCCTTTCATTACTAGTTTTATGAGTGTGACTTCTGATCTTGTCACCTCAAATGCAGTTCAATGTGCTCTGCAGAGACTACAACATCAACTGCGTCTAAACCAGAGTTACTTTACGACTGAAATGGCGCAGCTCAAAGCTGGTGACTATAGGACACCAACAGCCCAACCAGCAAGATCTGCTTGATCAGCTGATGTCTAAAAGCCTGGGGTCCTTTCCTTTAAGATACTGACTTTACACTCTTGTGCCTCTCTGACATTTAAGATGATCAGAAGCACTTTGACCTTCAGTCCCTGAGAGAAATGGGGTTTGAGGCAGGGCTTTCTTCAGGTGCCTTTTCCACTGCAGATTGAATACAAAGAGGGAAACTAAAAAGAAGAATAATTTGGTGGAACACTTGACACATTAAATCCTCAGACATGCTTGGAGTGGAGTGATCTTGACAGAGGTTGTCGTGTAGGAATTTTGTGACTGGTCCAGAGGGCTTCAGATGAAGCTTGTCCATTTAAAAACAGGAAAGTTCCTTCACAGGAAAGTTAGGGGTACAACTGAGGGAAATATTTTATATCTTATGCCAAATATTGACTGGAGATGGGTAGGCATAAACAAGTCCAACCAATCAACCCAACATCTAGATCAGAGTTCTTATTTTGTGAGCTTTCCCACATCAAATTTCCTTGTAAAACTGTATAGCTGTGGTTTGCTTTTTTTAGGGATGACACAACTGCTTACATTTGGTACGCCAGGTACATTTCCTAAACACTTATATGAAATCATCTTGTCACTAATCAGACTCTGGAAGTTCTCATCAATACTAATGGGATTCTGGGCGCCATCTGGCACTGCAGGGCAATTTTCTGAACCTAAATGTTAATAAGTAATGTTTCTCCCCGTTGCAGAACTGAAAAATATAATCCTAAGAATCCCATGTCAAATGAAAAAGCAGCTGACAGTTGAACACTGACCTTAGAAGCCATCAAAGGGCTAATAGCAGTCAAAGCTTGAGGAGGATTCCATCCTTTTGCTTTCAGAGTAGGACAGGAAGATGGATGTTTGGTGAAAGGCATAAGTGCCAAGAATCAACTATATAGAAACAGTTATTCAACAGAGGAGTCATGTTCCTTTGCCTCCCTTCTTTAAATATGGTTACAAGGACCATTTAAATTTCACAGCAACTTTACATACAACTTTAGAAGATAAATGGAAAAAGGACTCCAGGCTGTCCCTCACCAGAGTAAAGGGGAACCTTAGGTAGCCAACTATAATAAGGCAGATTTATAGTTTAGCAGGACATCAGTATTACCACTGCTTCATGTAGTTTTGCAAATTCAGTCTCTTCTCCACATCATGTTGAAAAGGTGAGAGAGCTGGCATCGAGGGTTCCCACAACCTCATGTTGAAGTATTACCTTATACTCACCTTATAAATCTCTACCTAAATCTTCTTCAACATGGAGATGTTCCCTGGATGTATCCTGTCAGCTTTGACTTGTTCTAGCTTGTACACTATGCCAGAGTTATCTGCACAGCATTGCCACAGCAGGCTGTCCAAGGTCTGCCTTGTGCTAAGGTCAAGAAAAGGAAAATTTTAATGATGGATGATAGTGAAACCTAGGATTGCCAGCAACAGTACCTTTTTTGGAAACTAATCATCAGTTGCAACTAATGAGACTGCAACAATTTTGCAAATTCTCCAAGTCCAGACATGATGAAAAGTCAGTGAAAAGAGGGTATAATCATATATTCTATGAAACCAGTATAGCTGAAATCAAAGTTAGGGAGACTCAGAATCTCTGAGCTGACATCTATGAAGCTACTCAGGCAAATGTTTGCCTGGAGAGCTTCTCTTCCATGAATGGAGGATGCTGCCCATTGCACAACACAAGGGTGATTATCCTAGAGATCTTCTACAGACATTTCAGCTCTCCTAGACCTGACGTGTAAAGAAAGAAAGTGCTCACAAAGCTTCATGTGTGCTCAAGATTCTTTTGAGGTTTCCCTGTCTAACTCCTCATTCAGTTTTTCATGAGTCTGAACTACATATCCTGTATGGAGTGTTGCTGAGGCAGGGTTTGGGAAGGCTTCTGTAAGGAAGAACCTCACCTCATCCTGTCCTGTACAAGCAGTGAGTCAAGAATGAGGGCTACAGCACGAGGGAGGATGGGGCAGGAGTGTATTTGCATGTTCAGGTTATGTTTTTGGTTTGTTTTCCTAGGAGGACATCCATCTCTGGCAACTGGAAGGCAAACACAGGTTCTGCAATGCTAGAACAGATTGCAATGACAGAGAGGTAAGGAAGAGGATTTCAAGACAGTATTAGCTGTTCTTGGGTTAGAAGGGAGGAACTGTATTTCAGACTTGGATTAATTGGGAGAAATGGTAAGTAATGTCTCCCAGGAGGCTGGATAAAGCAGTTTAAAAGACAAGTGTTTCCTTAAAAAACTACTAAGGGCACAAAGGCAAACTGTCCTATTTTGGAGAACAGACTGGAAGTACAGCTAGAGACTAGCATTGCTAAATCATTAGATCTCTAGTGAATGCAGCCACAGGAAACAAGACCAGCATGCTAAGGTCAAGTACACGAGCACAAATATGTAGGGATAAAATCAGAAAGGTCACAGCACAAAACAAGAAGTAACAAGAAGTTATTCTAAGTATGCTACTAATGAGAGGCAGGCACAGAGAAGTGTTTTTCTTCTGCTTAACAGAGGGAAAATTCTGTCAGCTGAAGTGTTGAAAGTACTTCTTTTGCATTAGACTCCCAAAAGGGGAGACTGTTTTAGCTAAGTTTTTTAGCTGAACAGAAAGAATTGCCCCATGCATCTTAAGACTAAAATTTGCAGATGGTACTTCCATATATTCAATCATTATGGTATTTGCTAATACTGCAACTGCATGACGTTGTTGACTCATAGTAATTTATGCTCTGCTGTAACTCCCAAACCCTGTTCTGCAGAACTGCTATCAAGTTATTGTGGCCTTCCAGTATCTTAGGGGGACCTACAAGAAAGCTGGGGAGGGACTTTTTAGGACATCGGTTAACGACAGGACTAGGGGGAGTGGGGCAAAGCTGGAAGTGGGCAGATTCAGGCTGGATGTGAGGCAGAAGTTCTTCACCATGAGAGTGGTGAGACCCTGGAATGGCTTGCCCAGGGAGGTGGTTGAGGCCCCATCCCTGGGGGTCTTTAAGGCCAGGCTGGAGGAGGCTCTGGGCAGCCTGATCTAGTGTGAGGTGTCCCTGCTCATGGCAGAGGGGTTGGAACTGGGGGATCCTTGTGGTCCCTTCCAACCCTGACAGAGTCTGATCTGTTTTAGCAGAGGACTTTAGAGCCCTAATGGCTCAATGGTTGGACTTGATGATCTTGGAGGTCCCTTCCAACCTAAAGGATTCTATGATTCTATGATTCTAAGTCCCTTGTTCCCCACTCTTATTCCAGTATATTATTTGTAGATTTATAGAATCTATGAATTATGTGTAGGCACTCATTCTTAGCAAATCTAAGATTTTTTTCAGATTATGCCCACAGGATCATGATTAATTCTGACTGTGTCCAGCTTTGGGCACCACTTTTAAAGAAAGATAGCAAGGAGCTGGAGAGACCCCAAAGGACAATAAAGGGAACACTCAGAGAAAACATAATCAACTTAAGAGAAAAGCATGCAACAATTGCTTGGATCGTTATCCACCTTTTTCAGCTGGCAGACCACTGATATTTTTGCAGTAGAGGTGTAGACTTATGTATGATGAATCTATGCCTGCGGGCCAGAGTGTTTCTTGCATTAACTGTCACAGAGCTGGAAGAAGTTGTCCACAAGCTAAACAGCACTTCATCCTAAGACGAAAAAACTTGAAGGGCATGAGGTTTTCAGATATGTAAAAGGCTGCTAATAGGGCATTACTCACTCCTGATATTACTAGCACAATACTGTAAGAAATAATGGGCTTAAATTATAGCAGAAAAGGTTCTTTTGAAGATTTCCTGTATTTCCCAACGATAAGGATAGCACAGGACAGAAACTGATTGCCTGGGGGAGGTGGGGAATTGCTGTACTCTCGCAGACCAGTCTGAGGAAATGTCTGCCTTTTTGGGTACAAGAGTTGTGCAGGTGATCATCTAAACACCCATCTGCACCTTTTGCTCTATGAAACAGGGAAGCCAAGACAAGCCCCAGATCAGATAATGAAGGTGACTCTGAAAGATCCTAATAGAACTGTGGGAAGTGGACATTATTATGCATCTTGGTTGTTCATAACACAGTTGAAGCTAGAGAGACAAGGAGTAGACATTCCTTTGTTGCAGTGTTGCAGGACTAAAACCCAGATTCCTGCCAGCCTGTCACACTGCATTTTGAAGGTTCATTTTATAGATGTAGTACCACAACTCACCACTCTAGCCTTATATAGCTATAAGTGTAACAAATCATGTTGAAATCTGTGAGTCATCAATGTGTGTAACAAGGAAGGAGTGTACTAAAATGCTCTGAGGAGAATGAGCGACCCAAAGTACCTACTGTACAGAACAGTAGCCCAAAAGATTGATATGTTCAGGTAACACTAGACAAAACGGCAGCAAATGCTCTGAAAATGCTACCCCTGATGTATATGCATAAATACCCTATTCTGTCCCATAGCACTGCTATTCCACCCCAGCAGCCCTGATGCCTCCCAGTGCTCACCTAGGCCCAGCAGCATTGAAGATATGTAGCTACTGGAGTCTCTGGCATGGGCAACACTTCCCTCTTCCTGGCTGCTGACTTAGGAGAAGTGGTTCCCATGATGATGCCCTTGGGTGTAGGGCCACAGCGGTGCATGAGAGGGCTCATCATGCCCCTTGCTTGGCTCACAAGGCCATAGTTCTCCTTCTTATGCTACTGACTTCTCCTCAGGTACAGTCTTCCTCAGGGGAGCTGGGATGAACGTGTCTGGTCTCCTCATTAAGGATGAGAGCACCAGTAGTCGTATAAGCCATGTTTTTGCTTCTCCCCCCAGACATTGTGTTTGCACAAGTTGATCATTATATTGTCAAACTATGGGGACTCCGGCTGGCTTCAAGGACGTAAACTTGTTCTTTGGCCAGAACAACTCTTTTCCTGGTTCCTGTAGGGTCTGAAAAATGTCACTATTTTCATGAGACTGTGGCCGTCCCTCCTCTCTTCACATCTTGTCATAGTCCTGCTTACAGATCTGCTGTTCTGAGACTATTATTTTTATTGAAATGGTTGGGACTGCAGTGCAGCTGCACAGGAAATAAAACCAGGACACCTCATTCCCTCCTGACTTCCCTCACAGCGGGGGGAAGCGGTCCCCCCACAATATGCCTCTCGTCATTCTCTCTCCTCTGACACCAGGATAGCTAAAGAGACACCAGCTCACATTCCCATCCTGGGACAGCTAGAGAAAAGGGCTGCAGCCTGTAGCTCTCCCTCTAGCAAAACAGTGCTTGGTCCATGCGATGGGGCCACCTGGCTAGGAGCAACAGCCCAGGGATAGAAGGGAGGCAGGAGACTGTAAAAGGATGACACTGAAAGAGTAAAACGTAAAAAGTGGGAGCCAGTGGGTTACAGATCAGGGAGGGGATGGCTACTCCTTGCTAAATTTTGCACTCACTTTCCGCTCCTATTCCAGCCCAAACGTGCAGGACATCTTATCAAGAGAAGGCTGCCTGCATAATGGAGGGCTTTCAGGCAAAGCCAATACAAACGCTAAGGGGCCAACACTCCTGGGAGATTAAATGAGCTGAATATTTATAGCTTGGCTAAATGACAACCAACTGGAGATCTGGTGTAAATACCAAGGATGGAAAGAAACATTTTAAGGTGGCTTTGAGGACAGGATTGAAACAATCTGAAACAAAGGGAAACTTTAGGCAAGATTCTTTCTTTTTGCTCCATCTCCTGTGCAAGAGAGGGAGGCGATGACCCAGCAATGCATATGAAGAATGCCTTGTGATAAAAAGGGCTCCTAAATCTCTTTGTGCTCCTATGGGCAGTGGGACAGGTGGCTGTACGTGGTGGACTACCCAATGAGCGCTAATCCTAGGCCATGCTTATGTGGTTTCCGCAGGTACAGACTCTGGGCGGATGCCTGTGCGGAAATATTTGGAGGTCTTGACATCTGCGCTGTAAAAGCTGTCCACAGCAAAGATGGAAAAGACTATATCATTGAGGTGAGAGCATGGGGAACCTGAGTGCAAGTCTCCTTTGGAAAGTCTGTCTGCAAACATGCTGCCTCAGTGTTCACGTTCACTGATGTGGTCACTTACCCCCGTGTGCATGGTCCAGCAGCCACTGCTCCTCTGTGCCTGCCTCCAAGCTGTAGCTCACTGATATGCATGAAACTGATTTCAGGTCCCAGCTAAATTGGTAGATGCGCAGCAAGGTGTCGGGGTTGAAGCGCCTTCATTTCTTCAGCACGGACTGTGAAGGGAATGGAGAAATGGAAAGCCACAGGCTGCTTGGCCACCCTGGCTTTTCAGTTAATAAATCCCAACAGTGCAGAGCCTTACCAGCATGGGACAGATGTGAAGCTGCCTTCTTCTAGTGCACATAACAGCCTGCAAGTGTTGCTGGCAGCGTCCAAAGTTTGGTGTGTCTCAGCACATCAGTACACATCCTTCCGAGGTTAAGCAGTTGCAAAGCAAGCACACCCTCATAGCTGTTCGTAGGGATCAACGTCATTGTGAAGAAACATGCTCATATTCAGCCCAGCCTGAGTTCAAGCACCAGAGGATGCTAGCAGATTAGTTGTATTAACCTCACTCCATTACCCACACAGAGGTCCAGCAGGTGATTCAGTCCATTAAAGATCTCAGTTTCTCTCTGAATGAACCTGTCTTTCTCCAGTTACTTTAAAGAGAACATCAATAACAAAAATCCTAATTTGAAAGAGGAAAATAAATGGTGGGAGTGTAGCAAACAGGTTCATAAGTAGCAGGAGCAATTTAATTTAAAAAAAAACAGGTGTATTTTCTGAAATCTTCCCCCTGGACAGCATTCACTACAATAACAGGCCAGCAAGAAAAAGCACCACAGAGTTATTACGGGCAGTGCAGACTACAAACTTTTGTGTCCCCAGCTGGACAGACTGTGGCTCTGAGAGCTCAAGTTCAGTGTGCTCCTCACTCAGCCAGGAGGCAGACATGGGAGTGGGGTAGATAGCAGACTCAGGGCATCCTAACAAGGCAGAGAAGGAAAAGCTGGGCAGAAAATCAAAGTGGAAACTTAAGAGACACTCTAGGGGAGAGAAAATCTGGCAAGTAAGCAAGTGCCTCTGTCACTATGTGACTCAGGGAGGCACAGCATCTGACCTGCCATAAACTCCACCAACACAGGCCTGCCGATGAAGATGAGCAGAGGCAGCCTATGGCTTCATGCAGGGGTGCTGACACACTAGAAAGCTACGTGTGGGAGAGCAGTCCCACCCGCTTAGGGCTGGGATGCTGATGAGAACCACATGAGCCCTCCAGCGACTGCACATTCCTGCATTATGTATCTGCTCCCTGGGGAAGAGTGACCTCTCAAAGGACATGTGACACAAGCATGCTGCTAGAAACCAAACACTTCTTTCCTGAAGTGATGGGGCCATGGCTGATGGGTCTGCTCCTGTATACAATTCATCAGCACCTAGAGGAGCACCCCCCAGAGCAGACTGTCTCCCTGCCACACACTTTTATATCTCTATGCACTTGTAGCTGAGGAAGGAGAAGCAAGAAAGCAGTCTTGCTAGAGACAACTGTAAGGACATTTGGACCGTGTCCATACACGGTCAAATATGAGATGTGGTTTTTATATCCCTACATCCATTCTTGCAGATAAGCCTACAAACGTGCACACATGGCTAATTCTGTGCTTAAGGATTATATGCCTCTGTCTGGGTATACCTCTGGGTTTTCACATCTGCCCTGAGGCAGATGAAAAGCACATCCAGACTCTAACAGCCATCACCAGCTTGCACACAGAGAGAAATGGCATGCTAATACTCCTCTCTCTGAGACCAAGCTAAAAGCAATGGGTCTAATACGACAGAAATCAGAAAAAACACAACAGCTTCATATGGGTCACGCTGAATTATCCCAGCAGAGAATCTCATTCAGCAGGCCTGATGTACCAACATTTGCAGGCATTCAGATGCCAGGCTGATGGACATTGTTGGGACAGGAGTAGAGCACTGCAATACAAAGAGCAGAAAAAAGTCAAACAGGCACCTTTTTTACTTTATGCAGATCTGAGGGAGATGCTGACAAGCAATTAATTGCCTCCAGCCTGCTTCCTGGGGTACTTTTCTTGGTCTGAAACTGATCCTTTATTTTGCTTTTTTCCTTTTGATAGTGGAAGAAAAAAGTTATTTGACAGTGTGACAGTTGTATTTTTCTTGGTGAGAAGGAACAGTGTGCTTTGACATTTTACAAGAAAACACACTTAAATGGGTTGGACAAATAGGGAATTCGCACAATGCAACTGCAGGCAGTAATTAATTTTCACAATGCAAAGCAGTTCTCTAGGAAGGATTCGCAGAGGTACTGATGGGCAGTTCTGTGAGTTAAGATTTATCACAGTGGTTTGTTGCAAACAAAATCAGATTAAGAAAGATGAGCTAACACAGCACAAGAGTAATCTTGCACCCGTGGTATTTGCAGTTACTTGAACTGCACCTTCTTTTCTTTTCCCATGGCAAACAGCAGAATCTAGTACATTTTTGCCCTTCAAAGCACTAGCACTTTTTACACAACATTTTCATGGCTCATATTGAAAACTTTGAAGAAATCAGTACAGTTTCATTCTATTAAAAAAACTGTGAATTTAATGGTAAATGCTGGTGCTTCTTTTTGCTCTGCTTTACAGAACTTGGTCACTTTAAGGGAAGGCTCAATAAATAGTCAACACTTGATCAGATTGTCAGATCCTCAAAACAGTGCAAGTTCAGTACTGCTCTTAGCAGCAAGAATCTCAAAACTGCTCAGCAGCATGTATGGTTGACTTCTCTCCCCAATACTCTTTTTTTTTTTTTGATCTAACCCTTTTTCACATCTTTGCTATGCTGAGTATATGCATATGTGTGTATTTAAACATGGAGTGAGTAGAAAGCAAGTAAAATGATCCATGTGATTTATTCTTCCTCCTGCATCAGCTAAGCCCTACCTGCCTCACAGCTGAGCTGTGTTAGTAGACATGGCCCTTTGCTGGCCTGCAAGAAGCCCTGCCCATCCCTTCAGCACTGCCATATCGTTTCTTTCGATAAGTCTAATCATCTGTTTCCTTCCTTCCCTAAAAATCACCTAACACTCCGCTCTTGCACATCAGAGCACGGGCCTCAGCGTCAGACAGGCGCGGGGGAGCACCAGCATGGGGTTTTCCCAAGTCTCTTCTCTGCTCAGCTGCCTTCCGCTCCTGCCTCGTGCACCTTATCAGGCAGCAGCAGCTGCATCAGGAACAGCCGCTGACCTTGGGCAGCTACAAAGGCCGGGTTCCCACATGCAGACGTCTCCTTGTCTTGCCCAGCTGTCCTGTGATCTCCCCAGGAAGAGAGGAGTGCAGTCTGCCTGTGGCTCACGTATTCCTCTCAGCCGTTTGATTGATTTCTGCATTACCGTTTGTATCTGCCCAGTTCCTGAGCAATTCCCCTTTCCCAGAGGACAGACAAGGTGGCACTTCATGCCTCTCTTCAGTTCGGTGGCAGTCAGCTGTGTCATTTTGCCCCCGGGAATCACCGCCATTTTCAAAGGCCTTCCCTTATGCATGTGATTGTTCGTTCCGGTATCTGCAGTCCCCCACAGCTCATGTTCCCCTGCCAGACACTACGTGGCAGGACAGCAGATACCCTCATCCCTGGTGTACCTCCTCTGGTTCAGGTGGGACCTGTTTCAAGGTTCATTTCCTCTGGTGCCTTTGTTTTATAACACAGCTTCTTCCCCTTCCTCTCCAGTCACGGCTGCCACAGAAATAGTGAAAAGCAGTCCTTAGGATGGGGAAATGAGGGGTTTAGCGTACCTCAGGGAGGGTTAGGGACTCAGGATGAGGCTTGGCTGGCCAGCCTGTCAGCAGAGTAACGGCATCATCTAGTGGTCACACTGGTCCCTCGCACGGTGAGTTGCAGGGAGCTCCGACACTTCTTTTCTCAGTAGCGAACTTGAACTGTCAGATGAAACAGGAACGCTTTTAAGGTGGGAGCGGAGGGGAGGAAAATCTGTGCAGGAATCTGCTGGAGGGCCCCCAGGAGCCCCTGGTTAGTGAGCAACGGGCAGGAATGGACTCTTACCTGACACTACAAGGAAACATCTCCCTTCCCCACCTCATTTTTTTTAATAGAGAAACAGCAAAGTAGACAGTGGAATGAAAAGCCACTTTGTTTATTTAGCTGAGCACTGCCATTTAACTTTCTGGCCTCCTCCTTTCACCCCCTGTGTCAAGCAGGCCATGGATAAAAACACCAACTCACTCTTCTTGCATACCATAGTTAAAACTTCCCAGACAGCTTCTCTAGTGTTCATAAGAGACATCTCTAGAAATTAATTCCAATTAATATCCTGCAAGAAAAGACAAGAATACAAACTCAGTGAACTCATCTCACTGATTTCCCCTACTTAAAAAAAAAAAAAAAGGGTGCAAAACTTTCCATTTCACTTCAAGTGGACTCCTGCAGCCTTGCCAGGGTGGAGTACACTTCTGATTATTATCTGAGAGTGAGTCAGGGCCTTTCTTGAGCAATGCAACCTTTAACTCTGCATTTCCAGGGTTTTCAATGTTTGGTTTAAAAATAAAATAAACTTTTCCAACCCTGATATTTTGGTACAATTATATCTGCTCCAGATGAACCTTAACTTCATCATAGTGCAGTTCTTCCTCTGGGATTTAGCTAATGTTTGCAAAGCATTTGATTTATGATGAACTGTTGACAATTATGTTTAGGGCTGCTATACAGATGAGGGTGTGCTGTGTTTTCATTATTGTTGTTGCCAGACCATTTCTTACCTTAAAGACCCTTTGACAGTTCTTCTTTCTTCATCCCCACAGTCTTGCTTCCCAGCTTTCCCCAGCACAGTTGTAGTACTTGCCTGGGAACCAGTCATATCTCAACAATATCAAGAAGATGAGGAGAGAATAAATTTACTTTTCTCCATTGGGTTCTGTTGTTTGGGTGACATCCTATTTATTACACATCTGTGGTGTTTATTTCCCCTCTCAGGATGCAGTGCTTTGCAGTGATTAATCCCAAATGTTTCCAGGTTTCCTGCAGACCCTGTTGCTCTCATCTCAGGCTTTGGTACATGGTTTGTCCCTTCTCCTGTGGCCCTTTCTTCTGTAAGAACACCCTCAAATACTGTGGGATAATGCCACGGAGACCTCACCCATCAGAGACATCTCCTCAGGACGTGTGAAGAAACAAGTCCATTTTTAGTTGATTTAGAAAACCTTTAGCCACCAGCAGCCTTGGTTTGGCTTCCAAGTTATAAAGGGAGAAGATGGGGAGTAGGGGAAAGTACATGCCATTTCCAAAAACACCCAAGCAAAATCCTACACTTAGGGAAGTCAAGCATGCATCAGCATGGAGGGGAGTGGTGACTAGAGGTGTTGGCAAGGATGTGGAGACACAAAGCAGGTTAGTATGACAGGTGAGTTGAAACAGGCATCTGCCACCATGAAACCTCCTTACTAACTGATGTTTTTCCATCCTGTGGCAGGTGATGGACAGCTCAATGCCCCTGATTGGGGAGCATGTGGAAGAGGATAGACAGCTGATAGCCGATCTGGTTGTTTCCAAAATGACTCAGCTTGTCATCACTGCTGGATCTACACCATCACCACTGAGGCCTTGGGTATGAGCAAATAGAGACCTTATGGCCAGGTTGTTCTGTCCCCCACAACATCCTGGTCTCCA